CATCAAAAAGGATTAAAACAACACAATGGCGACTACGTACAGCTACAGGAAGCTGCGCTCTCATCCATGGAGAGGTAGATCTTAATTTTGTTATCGGAAGCACCTGTTTTAATCATCGAGTGTTAGTAGCAGACATCGAAGATGAACTTATTCTCGGAATGGACATCGTGACCACTAGAGGTTTTGAACTAAACCTCAAACAAGAAATTTTGAAAATAAATGAAGAAGAAGTGGTTCTACATCGAAAATGTGAGGAGACGCTTCGCGTGGTAGTAGCAGAAGATGTTTCGATCCCTGAGCGCTGTGAGATATTTTTGGATGGTCGCCTGGAAGGTAAAACGAATAATGGGAGTATTATTCTGTTGGAGCCAAGGAACCATGACAGCGAAATAGGACGAGGGGTCGCTGTTGGAAAACCCCTGCTACGAGCGAAGAAGTCTGTACCGGTAAGAGTAATGAACACGAATTATCATTCTGTATCCTTGAAGAAGGGAACCCTGTTAGGGTACTGTTGTTCGGCCTCCTCAGTCATTCGAAGCGTGGAAGCCTCCAAAGTTTCGATTTCAAAAATTCCGGACAAAATGGTTAAGGAGTTAGTAAACGTTAAGGGATTATTTCCCGAAGATAGTAGAAAATTGAGAAACCTGATAATCAAGTATCAAGATGTGTTTGATAAAGGAGAAGCAGGACATAGAGGTCGTACCAATTTAGTACAACATAAAATTGACACCGGAGATGCACGACCAATCAAACAAAATCCGAGTAGACTGCCGCTCGCCAAACGTGAAGAAGCTGACAAAATCCTTCGAGAAATGAAAGAAGAGGGTGTCATCGAACCATCTAACAGCCCGTGGACATCGCCGGTAGTACTAGTAAAGAAGAAAGACGGTACCACCAGGTTCTGTGTTGATTATCGGCAACTTAATAATGTTACCAAGAAGGATAGCTATCCCCTGCCGAGGATAGACGATACTCTAGACACATTGGCGGGGTCAACGATATTCTCTACGTTAGATCTGAAGAGTGGATATTGGCAAGTCGACATGGCGCCGAAAGACAGAGAGAAGACAGCGTTCTCGGTGGGCTCCGGCCTGTGGCAATTTACCGTCATGCCTTTTGGATTGTGCAACGCACCAGCTACCTTTGAGAGACTAATGGAGTCTGTGTTAAAGGGACTATCCTGGACTACCTGTTTAGTGTACCTGGATGACATCTGAAGAATTTGGAAGAAGTTTTCAAGCGACTAGGGAGCTCTGGTTTGAAACTTAGCCCCAAGAAATGTCATCTGTGTCAAGAAAAGGTACACTACTTGGGCCATGTAGTCTCCTCCCAAGGAGTTGCGGTAGATCCACAGAAGACCAAGACAGTGGAAGAGTGGCCAATACCTAAAGATAAACATGAACTACGAAGCTTTTTTGGGACTATGCACATACTATCGCCGCTATGTACAGGGTTTTGCCACCATCGCAAAACCATTGACCAGACTTACCGAAGGCGAGAGCGTTTCTCTTGGGACTCAGATTCTGACGAGGCATTCCGAAAATTGAAGAAGGCCCTGACTAGTGCGCCCATACTTAGCTACCCTCTTGGCAACAACGGAAACTTTATATTGGATACCGACGCTAGCAATATTGGTTAGGCGCTGTTCTGTCTCAGATCCAGGATGGTCAAGAAAAAGTCATTGGTTATTTTAGTAAGACCTTGTCAAAACCGGAAAGGAACTACTGTGTAACCAGACGAGAATTACTAGCAGTAGTTAAAGCAGTGGAACACTTCTACAAGTATCTCTATGGAAGAAAGTTCTTGTTAAGAACAGACCATGCTGCTTTGAAATGGCTGTTGCAATTTAAGAATCCTGAAGGGCAGGTAGCTAGATGGATTGAACGATTACAAGAATTTGACTTCGACACAGAACATCGAGCTGGGGCAATCCATCGGAATGCCGACGCACTTTCCAGAAGACCTTGCGCTAAGGACTGTAAGCATTGTTCCCGAGCTGAAGAGAAAGAAGTGAAACTCCTAAGAACAACTGTGGTTAATGATAGTTGGCAACCCGAAGATCTTGCAAATGACCAAACCAGTGACCCAGAATTAGGTTTAGTAATTAACTGGAAAAACACAGGCCAAAGACCAACGTGGGAAGAAGTTTGCAGATATTCGCCGAACGTAAAGTCGTACTGGGCCCAGTGGAATTCCTTGGTAATAGATAATGGACTACTTCGCCGTGTGATCGAGAGACCGGAGGGACAAGAAGAGAGAAGGCAGATCGTCATTCCAAAGAAGAGGGTCCCAGAAGTCTTGGAGGAAGTTCACAATGGAACCAGCGGAGACATCTTGGTGTTACCAAGACACTTGGCAAGCTGCGTGAACGGTTCTACTGGGTGAACTGCAAAGAAGATGTGAGGGCCTGGTGTAAGAAATGTGACATTTGCGCAGCCATTAATGGGCCACAAAAGCGTGGTAAAGCCCCTATGCGCCAGTACAATGTTGGTAGTCCCTTCGAACGAATAGCGATCGACGTGGCTGGTCCTTTCCCGGAGACGAACGATGGCAACAAATACATTGTGGTAGTAATGGATTACTTCAGCAAATGGGTCGAGGCCTACGCGTTGCCAAATCAAGAAGCGTCCACGATTGCTGATGCCCTTGTTAAAGAATGGATCTGCAGGTTTGGTGTTCCCATGGAGCTTCATTCAGATCAGGGAAGAAACTTTGAGTCCAATCTGTTCCAAGGCGTCTGTGAAGTCCTGAACATCCGCAAGACCAGGACGACTGCTCTACATCCACAATCCGATGGGATGGTTGAACGCATGAACAGAACTATCAACCGTTATCTGGCCAAAGTAGTCTCTGACCACCAAAGAGACTGGGACAAATTTCTTCACCTGTTCCTGTTGGCCTACCGTTCATCCGTCCAAGAATCTACAGGGCAAACTCCAGCCAGCATCGTTATGGGACGGGAAGTGCGCCTACCCTGTGATCTGAAATTTGGTTGCCGACCGGGAGAAGAAGTCGCCGGAGAAGATTATGTCCACACACTACGTCAAAGGATGGACGACATTCATCAGAGAGTCCGCCTAAATATTCAAAGTGCTAGTGACCGAATGAAGGAACACTACGACATTCAAGCTGAGCATGGAGGATACCAACCAGGGAAGTTGGTGTGGCTATATAACCCGCAGAGACGTCGTGGGTTATCTCCGAAGCTACAATCCTCGTGGGAAGGGCCATACGAAGTCATGGATAGAATTAATGACGTCGTATACCGTATCAGAAAATTGCCAAAAGGAAAACCGAGGGTAGTCCATTTCAACCGTTTGAGCCCCTACCAAGGCGAAATAGAAGATCGTGCTGGGACCGTGAGAACCTGCAGCTTTGATCCCCCTGATTCGGAGATGTCCTTTGACGATTTCATGGCCCGATACAACAGCAGTGAGAAGGCTCGCTATGGTGTAACCAAAGAAGATCAACGAGACCTCTTTTCCGTGCCTCCTGATTATTCGCTCGCTCATTGTGTGGCTCGAGATTTGCGGATGTCCAGAGGAATCGCTGCGACGTTCAATGAGAAGTTTGGGCGTGTCGGAGAACTACGCCGACAGGATCCAGAGGTTGGAAGCGTCTTGAGGCTAACCGACAATGCACATGGTCAAGCAAGGCACATCTTCTACCTGGTCACCAAGGAATGGTCCCCGAGTAAGCCGACTTATCTCAATCTATGGAAGACCCTGATTGAACTGAGAGAAGCCCTGCTAAACAACAACATTGCACGATTAGCCATTCCGAAGCTGGCGTGTGGACTCGATGGTTTGAGTTGGCGTACAATCCGGAACATGATTGAAGTCTTGTTCAGATTTACGGGAATCGAGATCCTCGTTTGCTGCTACAACCCAAAGCTGAGATCGGGAGAGAAAACTGTAGACTGCTATTTCTACCAGACTTCGCAATGTACCAGGGGCCAGCTTTGCAAATACCTTCATTCACCGTATACATCTCGGGACGAGCATGTGCCTAAGAAGGGGGCAGTGTTGCGAGCCGGTGTGAACTCGACCTAACCTCACAATATGGCCGCCCTCGGATGACCTTAACATCGCATAGACACCGCAATGATTCATTCGTTCGAGAAGAAGCGAGACCCACCAGAATGGACTCGTACATACGAGAACATTCGAAAACCTTCTCTATGCGCCTAACGATCTTTGGACTATTCTAGATTTCTTTTACCTGTCGGTATAAAAGCCGGCGGCAGTGGCCTAGAGAGGGCAGTTATAAATATACAGTTGACGCGCTAAAATTCAAAATAAATTCTTAGTTATAAATCGTTTGTAAATAGTTCTATAAGTCTTTTATCGTTATTATTTTTGTTCATTAGTGTTAAATAAATAGTGTTTAAATAAATTGTGACTTTCTATCCACACGGAACCGACGAAAAACGTAACAGTAGTATAGCTCCATATGGCCTACCACAAGGTGGCAACTTGCCACCACTACTATACATTCTGTATTCTAACGATTTATTTGAACAACATTTTTTTGGTAGAATGTATGCGTATGCTGACGATTTATACATATATGGTGTATTCTGACAAAGATTATAACTAACTTATAATAATTTACAAGTGAATCTAAATAATGATCTGAAGAAATTTTAAATGTGGTGCTTCGACAATTCACTAACTATAAATTAATCCAAAACAGAATGTATAAGATTTAATATAAAAAAGCAAACAAAAGACTTATTAAAGATAAGTCTAAACGAGCAAAAAATAAAAGAAATATCTGAAGTCAATTACCTCGGCATTAAAATTTATAACAATTTAAAATGGGACTCATTTAAAATATGATGTGCGTAATAATCCTGCAGCCGGATCCTGTACTATTAAGAGACAGTAAATATAATAAGATTTTTTAAATATGCACTTATTGCAATATCTTAATAGGCTTTATTTATTAGAAATAACAAAGCCAGTTGTATTCAATGCATTTTTTACAAATAATCAGTTTATTAGTGTTTTCATCATTGTATCTACTACATTTAGGTCGAAAGTCAACAAACCCTCTAATGATATCGTTTCTATAGACATATTACATCTTGCAACCAAGCAGTTAAAATAATTCGTAATCATGGATGTAAAGGCGATAGTGACTATTAGTTCTTTACTAATTATATTACAATCAGTAAACGTAAGTATAGCTTTTTTTACTACCTCAGATTGTCAAATAGTGTCTGTAACTGAATTAATATAAATTAAGTATTTATTAAATATTCACGGTGTACACCCTGTTGTTCATTTTCGTGTGTTTTATGGTATTTCTCGTTTTTGGGAGAGATACGAAGATTCGGTTTCACATCACTGTGCTATTTTTTATGTAAACTAAGATTCTACACCCATATTTGTTCCAGCCCTCTTAGTTTCTGAAATACAGGGCGAAATTGAAAATGTTGTATTTTTTTGACCCCCTTAGTATCTCGGTTATCTTATAACTTATCGAAAAGGTGAAAACTGAATCCCATAGAATTCTTCACGTAGAATTCAGTGGCGTAACAAGATTTTTGCTGCGAGCTGTCATTCATGAACTATGACACAAACTTATGTTTTTTTTTAAATGGGAGACCCTGTATATCATATTTTTATTTTATTTGCCATATGTTAAGAGCGTTCTAAAAATATAACATAATCTATACTTTAACATATAGGCGGCCGGTTTCAAAACAATCGAATAATTTATTCGACGTCAAATTTTGGATATTGGCTATTCCACGCTAGTTTTTGTGCGTTCAGAATTATTGCACGAGTGCATTAAAAAATTATTCTGATTGACACCGTGATATCTAAAGGCTGCATAAGTTGCAGTGCATGTTATTAAGATAACATGATATTAACAAGTATATTTAATATTTTTTATATTAAAAAGTTAAAAAATGCATTTTTTACCTTGTTTGTGAAAATTAAGTGTTAGAATATATTATATTTTTCGAAAGCTCATGACAAGGCAGATAAAATAAACAAATGATATACAGGGTATCCCATTAGGAAAACATAAATTTGAGTTATATTTCGAAAATGACAACCCCCAGCGAAAAACTAGTTACGCCAATGGTTTCTGGAGAAACGACTATTAATTTTTAGGACCTCCTAGAAAATCAACCATATTTTCACGTTTTTTTTTCTATTTTCTCTAAAACGGTATGAAAATTTGGAAAATTATAAACGGGATTAACCATTTTAAAACAAGCATTTTTTTTTATAAAGAATGCGTTTTGCTCAAAACGTCAATAATAAAAAAGTTTTTCCTCTTGTAAAGACAATCCGGAGACATATTGTATATAATCATTTTACTGTCAAGAAGACTGCCTATGTCTGCCACATAATTATAGTCCACTGCCTCAAGACTGATGCCAACGTCTGCCAGCGACTGCCAATGTGTGATCCGCGTATCCAAAAAATCGATGGCTGGTTTGCTGTTTGAAGTTTAAAATGTCAAATGTTATTTTGATTTTGGGACAACAAACCACCCTGTATTTTTTAGTTATAACCAGTAAAATTTAAAGAAATATTAATTTCAGATAGCGGTTGCTGCTCCCCAGTTTTATAATACTCATAATATGGGTATGAACGGTCTAGGTCCAACATATTTCTTCCCTTCAAACTATATGCCGTACGCTCCGTTTCCATACCTTCCTTATAGTGGTTATCCTACTAACCTAATGAACTATCCCATGCAGTTTCCTACGAATGGTACTCCATGGAGTTCCCCGACGGACTTATCCAGTGGAAACATTCCTAGATACTTTGGCCAGATGTATACAGGTATAAATTATCCTTTGGCAATGAATCCATCCCAAAACCACGTTGAAATTATTGACGTGAGTCCAGAATATCAAATGAAACAACTAGGTATGCAAGGGGAATTCAATCAGGTAAAGCATTTAAAAATTAATATCTACAGGGTGACGCAAGTTTGAAGCTTCTGAATAACGGTCTAGGTAAAGCATTTAGCTCATTCGCTAGCTCAGAATTAGAATTATTACAGCTAAGCAACTTGCATTTTTATTCGAAGACATTGTCATACAGGATGGCCCATCGAAAACGTTCCGCAAGGCATAACGGCCAGGATAATTTTTTTTCAGAAAATTCAAAAACACATCAATTTTGTTTGTGAGGGGACAACTTTTGCCCCAAAAATGATTGCAAAATCTTCAACCCTCTAAGCGGGGGTGTCATCCCCAACTTTTTTCAATGTCATTGAGAAAATATGAAGGATTGAAATTTGAAAAGTTTATTTAAACCTTTATCAGAGTAAATGATAAGGATAAATTCCTTCGACTAATTTGAGTTTTTTTTTATTATTTCTAGATGTTTACGCATTTTTTCAATTGCCACAACGTTGAACGGTCAGGTGCGGTAGTTGCTAGATAGCTTGTGCTTGTTGCTAGATAGACTTGTGCGTTGAAGTTCTTCTCAATATCGTTAAACTGACCCACAATAGAATTTCCAAAAATACCAGCCCACACGTTCAATTTCTGAGGGTTTTGTGGGTGCACCTCGTGAAAAACACTGGGGTTGTCATCAGCCCAGTACCGACAGTTGTGCCGATTAACTACACCGTTCAAAAAGAAAGTACCTACACTCATCCGAAAAACACACATTAAATAGGAAATTATTATCATTCGCCACTCGTTTACTCACAGTTTCACAAAATTGCAAGCGACGATCAAAATCATCTTCGTTGAGTTCTTGTACCAACTGAATTTTGTACGGGTGGAACTTGTGTTTTTTTAATATCCTTTGGACACTTGTACGATTCACGCCGGTCTCATTGGCTAATTTTCTTGTACTCAGAATACTGTCCATGGTAACTTGGCCCAATACGAATACCTCCATAGCTTCATTTACTTCAGGATTTTCCCTCTGTCTCCTTTTATTCATAACGGAACCAGTTTCGGGAAATTTTGCTACTAACTGGCGAACAATTTTGCCATAAAGGTGTTTGTTAGGATGGCGTTTATTGAATATCTGCGCAACCCGATTGCAAACATCTCGAAATAATAAGAAAAAACAGCAAATTGGTCGAAGAAATTTATCCTTATCAGTTACTCTGATAAATGTTTATTTAATTAATAATGTTAATGAACGAAGCTTTGTTTAATCTTTTTGTTTTATTAAGCACTTTGCAAGCACTTTGAAATAAATTGAAATAAAAATCACAAACCAAAAAGGTCACCCTGTATTTTTTTAAAATTAGATCTTTTCTAGACTCTTCGCCTTCTGTCCGTATTGACACAGAAATTGAATTTCATATTTTGTTATTTTTTTAAGCATCATTGAGAAAGAATTCTTTTTAGAATCATCTTGATCCTTCAAAATCAAAGTATGACGTGAAGGTCAGCACGCAGACTCAGAATATAACGAGTGTACCATCCCAGTTTAGTCAACCAATAAAAAGTGATAAAGTCTATAATACAACTTTTAGGAGAACTTACGTTTATGATCCGTCCAATCCTAATAGTAAGTTTTTTTATTAACAAATTATGATTTATCAATTGAAAGTATACAGGGTGCCACTATCTTAAAGAACTTCGACTGCAAGCTCAGCCAAGAACACCCTGTATATGTGTATGGTAGTTATGGTATACCTTCGTTAGACATTAGACAATTATAGGTAGAGATATACAGGGCGGTCCGAATTGTTTTCGGGAAACTCCGGCAGCATATTCTACAAATAAAAATTCACAGTCCTTTACAAAGATGCAACCGGGGGGGCATTGAAAATGATGAATAAAAACGTAAAAATATGATTAGTGTTAATATGAGTGTACTACATACATATGTTTAGATAACGAATGTTATGGATGAATGTTAAATAACGAAGTTTATGGCGCTCTTCTGTGACGGCTTTTTATGTCTTAATAATTATATATAGGGTGTTTTAGAACTCGAACCAAAGTCGACATTTTGCAAAATCTCAAAAAAGAAAATCTCTCGAAAATAATAAATAGTAAAATGACATTTACCCTCTATGGATAGAACCCTACCTATGGTCCCATATAAACTGTATACTAAAATAAATTGTTTTGACATATAATTGTCGTTTTTCTTGATATACTCCCCTGATTTTATTTTATTTTTCCAGAGCACTAATACTCTCTTTATGTTATTTTTTATTCCTAGAAGGATGATTTGAAGAAAAAATATTTCGTTCATATTATTGATGTAACTAAATAAACCCTTGTATAATATGTTATACTTCTAGATGTTATAGTAATGCATTTTCGTATAGCAAACTTTCATTCCCTATTCTACTCCCTAAGGGTATGAATTTCATAAATTCCTATGTCCAAATAATTAACTCATGTCTTTTAAATGATCCTGAAAGCAAATTCTTATGTGTATAATCCAGAGGTCACGAAGGTTTATATAATTTTTACTAACTTTACCCATTTGGTTGATGAATTTTAAAAATCTCTTCTTATTCTTCTTTCTGTAGAATTTCATTCTTCTAGTAAATCATTTTCATACAACAAATCGTTCGACATAATTTTACACTCTAAGAGGATGAATTTTCTAAAATCGCTTTGCATAACTAATTCACTAATCACTAATGTCCTGTAAACGAATCTATGTGCTAATATTGATGTATCTAAAGCTAGTGGTATGAACTGACCCCTAAAATATCTAAAAACTTGATATATAATCTCTATAATCTAACTGTGTAGGTGTTTTTCAGGTATGTTTTAATATTTATTCGTTTTACATAAAGAAATACCGGTTAAACGATATAATAATACTTCATAACAAATCTAGATATCAGAACCTTTCATTTAAAAAAAGAATCATCAAGATTGGTGAGGCGGTTTCGGCGGGATGGATGTAACAAAAAAACCCTTTGAGCTTTTATATATGTATCCCACTTCGATGTCACAAGCTGAATTTTTCAGGGAAAGAAGTACAAGTACGTGATATGGGGACGCTTATTCCAAAAGTAGTACAAAATTAGACCGGGAAAAAGGGCACTCTCATCAAAAATCGATATATTAATACCACCGTATAGAGAAAACAAATACTTATTTTTTGATCCAGTACAAAATAAAGTCTTCGTAGGGAGTAATTTTTTATAATTATTTACAAAAAAAACATTTCCATTAGCGCTTATGACCGAAAAAAAACTTTAAACATGAATAATTCATTTCAATCATGAAAATTTGGTTTTAAAATGGACTTTTTTAAATATAACTTTCATTTAACGAAAAACGAAGGCCTAAATGAAAAAAAGAAACAATTTATAAGTTTCGCTTATGTCTTGACAAGGTAACAAAGCAAACCCGATATTTTTTGCTTTTAAACTAATAAAGATATATCAATAAACAATTAGCGATGTCCGAGTGCCGCCGCCGCGCCGAGATTTCCTATACTAACGTATACGCGTGATGACGTCATGGTGTGGCAAATGTAGCATTTTAATTCGATTTGGGCTCCCTTATATAGGATAACAGAAGCATTTTCAATGTTAAAATAAGTAAAAAAGTTCGTATAAATCTATCTCCTAAAAGTCGTAGAAGTTTTATTTTTATTTCGAATTTTCCAAATAACTTTTGAACTAACCTCGTTATTTGGTTAGGTGTTTAACATGAGAAATTCGATTGCGACATCAATATGATTCCTACTTGTAAGGGGTGCTACCATAATTTTTTTCTAACTGGTTCGAAGTTCATTTAAATGTCGCGGTTAGTTCGAAAATTATTTCGAAATAATCGAATTAAAATGAAGCTTCTATGTTCTCCTGTATCTCCGAAACAACGCATTTTAAAAGATACGTTTATACAAACTTGTTTACCTATTATTATCTGTAGAATATGCTGTCGAAGTTTCCCGAATACCAATTTGGACCACCCTGTATAAATTCCATTTTGAAATAGTCTTAGTATTAATTATTTTATATTTTTAAATTATTTATTTTTTAGTTAATATTGAGCCTATAAATGTTCACTACATAAATGGAGTTGAAGTCACTACAACCACTCCTGCCCCAACAACTGAAAGTGACCACGTGGAACCAATTAAGCAATGGATTGATAACCACTTAAAGAATACATCTAAATAATTCATAAACTTTTACTTCATATACCACCACTGATTGTTACTTATGCATTAAAAATATATTAATCTCTATATTATGTTTCTGTTGATTTATAAAAATATTTGCAATTTTAAAAAAATAACATAGATGTTGAATGTATGGGAAGGGGGTTAATTACTGGGGCCTTCTAGATCTATTGCATCCTTCTTTTTGTGTTATAACTCATCATACAGTCTCATGGCTTTGACAAAAGCCAGTACTGAGACGGTTTTACAGAGGTTATAACTTTAAATTGATGGTTTTATAATATACAGGGTGGTCCGAACTGTATTCCGGAAACTTCAGAAGCATATTCTGCAGATAAAAATAAGTAAAAAAGTTTGTATAAATGTATGCCCTAAAATGCTTAGTTTCAGCAGGGTGTAGAAGTTTCATTTTTATTTTGATTTTTTCCAAATAATTTCTGAAGTAATCTCAACATTTGGACGAAAATTGGTGTCTGGGAGTTTTTTGACATGAGAAATTTGATTTTGATGTCAATATGACTCCTATTTGTACATGGCGCCATCTACATGTGTTTTAACTGTTTTGGAGGGTAATAACTTTTCGTCCGTACCTGTATAAAACTATTGAGTGAAAAAATATACATTTCTGTTATTTTTTACGTAAAAAATGTCCCTTGGTAAAAGTCGCTACGAATAACCGTTCTCAAGATATTTAGAATGGAAATAGTCAATACATGTCATTATTGACAAAAAATAGGCATGTTGAGTAGACTGAAATGATAAATTTGGGAACTTTTTATTTTTTTTAATTAATCTTAAATTTTTCTGAGAAAAAATGATGATAAAAAACTTTTAGCACAAAAACATTTCAAATTTATGATTTCACCCTAATAACTATTTAGTCAACATGCTTAATTATGACAAAGATGACAGGTTTTGATAATTTCGATTCCAAATATCTCGAGAACCATTACTCGTAGCGATTTTTACTAAGAGACATTTTTTACGTAAAAAACGTTGTAAATGCATATTTTTTTACTCAGTTGTTTTATACAGGTACGGACGAAAAGTTATTACTATTCATAACAGTTAAAAATATGTAGGTGGCGCCCTCTACAAATAGGAGTCATATTCACATGAAAATCAAATTTGGCGAATCGAAATCAATTCCCAGACACCAATTTTCATCCAAATATTTACGTTACTTCAGAAATTATTTGGAAAAAATTGAAATAAAATTGTAACTTCTACACCCTGTATCTCCAAAACTAAGCATTTTAGGACATACATTTATACCAACTTTTTTACTTATTTTTATCTGCAAAATATGCTGCCGAAGTTTCCGGAATACAGTTCGGACCACCCTGTAGATGGTGTAATTTTAGTTCGTCTCCTGAGACTCTTATCTCTTTTAAGTTATACACTTAAAACCATCTATAACTGATACCTAGAGCTTATTGGAAGGGCTCCTCCCACTTTATTTTTACCATTTTCTTTCAAATTTTATCAAAAATGGAGTTTAATAAAATAATTTGTAAATAGGCTGTTAAACTCGTCAGACACGGAAGCTTTTTTTGCAACAAAAATTAGATCGAATGACAGATAATTAACAAAAGAAACAGAAAAACGTTAATATACCACGCTTTTTGGAGCACCCTGAATATTAAAAAAAATTGAATTGTGTATGTTAACATTGCCTAAAACTTTTCTATTTAACATTTTTTTGTAAACCTTGAAACAAACGAGATAATGGACTTTACTCTATTATTGACTCACCCTGTACAGGGTGTTCCATTTTCGTGTGTTTTACTGGGTTTTTCGATTATGAGTAGGTAGATGCGGTTTTCATCTTTAATTTCATAAAAAAGTAACAACTGTAAAAACCGTATCTTTGTACCGCTGCGCTGCTCATAAACGAGAAACCCTGTAACTGTAAACACACACAAAAATCACATATTAACATATCACATAAACACCATTTAAGTCATTAAAAAAGATTTAAATCTTTTTTTAATGACTTAAGTCATTTTACAAGACTTAAATCTTTTAAAAGATTTAAGTCTTTTTAGAAAAGATTTAAGTCTTTTTTTCATATATTTTTATCGTAAATTTTTAACAGCGGCATCAAATATATGTTTACCATCTTTAAAAACACACAAAAATGGGACAACCTGTACAAAGTATCACAACATTTAATTTTATTTAAGTTGTTGAAGTTTTTATTTGTGTGTTTTTATGTCCTTGATGCGTTTTTATTGTTTTATTGTTTATTATTTATTGTTTATTGCAGTCATTGGCGTAACTACAGGGGTGCCGGGCCCCCCCATGTACTGCTGGGCACCCCCCAGAGAAATCATGAATTTTATGACTCTTGGCTACGCTACGTATTAATTTTTATTCGCTTGTGATGTATTAAAAATGACGTTTTATAGTTTTGTTTAGTTATTATTATTTTGTTGTATTCAAAAAATGTGTTAATTTTTATTTTTTTTTAGCAAATTTGTAGGTATTTAAGTAATCTACGGGAACCCAGTTTGATAACCAAGTCCATGAAATTTATTGGTAGAGGAATCCATGTAAACGTTTTATTCAAAAAATGTGTTTTTTTTAAGATCAGAAATGTCGACCCTAGTATATGACAGAATATGTTTTAGAGTTTTATAGAGTCACACCTTTCTCTTAGAAGTCTCGAAAAATTTGTGACACTATGATCTTTATTGATATAGCTTATAGCGAAACCATATTTCGGAAAAATGTTTCGAAACAAACAGCAGAGATTTTGTTTCGATTTTTGTGTCTAATAATAAAAATGCTACTTGGGATGTGCAAAGTATAAATGACAACCCTCGTAGTATGATAAAATAAGTTTGTGAAATCATACCAGAACCCTATTGGTAGAAGAAGTTCGTGTCATTAGGCAATCGGACTGGCTCCAAATGGCACCGTCTAATAATTTGTCAGAATCGTGACGTTGGCACGGCGTCGATAGCCGTCGGCCGCGTGCCGCCCGTCGGCGTCCCGACGCTTCGAATTAACTTTGTTACGTCGTTAGTTCGTAACTTGTTCGGTAATTAACACTAACGGTGGCTCCCTGCCGAGCTATTTCTAGGCACGTTCCACGACCCTTATCGCATCGGAAATTAAATAGAAAAAAACGAACACTAATTGCTGTTCGACAAGTTTCTCTTGTCAATCATCAGATCTTTTTTGGGCTTTGTTAAAAATAATGTATAGCATCTCAAACGCGTATTTTAATTTAAAATCTTGATAAATCCAATACAAATTAATATGGAAATAATCCAATTTGAAGATTTCTTAATACAGGGACACATTATATTCCATGTAGTGCTCCTGCCAAGTCCAGCTCAGCTGTATCATCCTTTTCGCGAAGCAACACACGTCATTTTTGACTCCCCTATAAATTCGTTTTGGATACAGCAAGAATCTTAGTTTTTTGTGATCAAGAGACATCAATGACTATACAGTGTGTCCCAATATTCGGTGGACATAGAGCTTACTACGTATTTTTGGAATCAAAATAAGTAATAATAAAATAATAATAATATAAATATATATCTCGACCGGTAGCTGAGAATAGTGAATACCTTCTCTATCGGGACACATAAATCATCACAGATAAAATAAACCCATTGCCGCAAATCGTCCAGATATTACCTTAGTTGATAAAAAAGAAAAAGCTGGTTATTTGGGGCTAGAGCTTTTTTTTAAATGAAAATTGTAATTGTTGTATTAAAAAAACTTGAGCAAAATATAAACACGCAATAATTGTACCTTGAATTTCACAAAAAAAACTACGATTACTATTAAAAAAACAAGGGAAAGATTTTATTATGAATAAATAATCAAAAATAATAATAATAATAATAAAAAGAAAATGTATTGTAATTTGTGTACATAGATTAGATACAAACAACAAAATTATAAAACACAATAAACAAAAATATAAAGAAAAGAAAAATATACAAATTACAAAAAGACTGGAAATACAGCATAACTGATCAAGTTCCAGCCTTGTTTAATGCATTAATATGTAAATAGCAATAATAAAATTTGATGATGATACTAAACAGAAATTTTAGAAAAAATACTGAAAAAAAATACCAAACAGAAATTTTAGAACTTATTATTCCGAGATTCTAGATATCAGAATCAGATTTGAAAATATGGTATTTCGATTATGTGAGGATATTACAGAACCCTAACAGCTAAAATGCGATTTCATTCATGCCGTTTTGAAGATTACAGGTTTCTATAGCTCAAAATCGTTAATCCCCTATTACGCAACCTAAATATATTCGGCTGGTTTAACTATCAAATATAAAAGCATAGTCCTTTTTCGGCGATCCCCAAACAATCAGGGATGTGAAGTCTCATTGTCGTTACACAGGGGGTGAAGTTGATACTTAATAATAAAAAAATAATATTTAACTCAAAAAAATGTATCTTTTTTTATTATTACATATTCGAATAAATTAATAAAATAAGTTCGTGCTTTTTAGCCTTTTTAGGAGACAATAACTTTTATTTATTTTTTTAACTTAAAATTAGTTAATGAAACGATAAAAAAACAGCGTCCCGTTGGTTTTGAGCCCTGGGGTGCCTAGCACTTTTGGTTTTTAAAAATGAAAAATAATTTAAAAAACACTTTTTTTAATAAACTTTTACACTAATTTCTCTATCAATAAATTTCATAGACTTGGTTATCAAACCGTGTTCCCGTAGATTACATAAATACCTACAAATTTTCTAAAAAAATAAAAATTAACACATTTCTTGAACACAACAAAATAATATTAACTAAACAAAACTAGAAAACGTGATTTTTACAGCATCACAAGCAAATAAAAATTAATACGCAGCCAAGAGTCATAATTCAGGATTTCTCTGGGGGGTGCCCAGCAGTACCAGGGGGGGGGGGGCACGGCACACCCCGGGCACCCCTGTAGTTACGCCAATGAATATTGAAATAAAAAAATGCAAATATATATTAAAAATTAAAACATAACATAATAAATATTATAGGAACTTACTTCAAAAGAGAAAAAAGGCA